TCACAGGCTTGTCCAGTCTGTGTTTGAACACTGTCCTTCCTGTCAGGCAGTTTCTCCTCACTTCCAGGTTGCTTCTCTCCTTGGTCGGTTTCCATCCGTTGCTTCGTGTCCTTCAGGGGCTTCGGAGGAGAGGTGGAGGCCCCAGATCGGTCGGTTGGTCTGTCCATATCTACCTACCTATCATGTCTCTCTCTCTCTCTCTCTGTCTATCTATCATCTATCTGTCTGTCTGTCTATCATCTATCTATCTATCTATCTATCTATCTATCTATCTATCTATCTATCTATCTATCCATCCCTCCATCTATCATCTACCTACCTACTTCTATCTCCCTATTGGCTGCCCATCTTACCATAGGATAAGTCTGGGTGACTTATGGCTATCGTATCACCCCTAGTCCTTCTTTTCATCAAACTAGCCAAAGCCAATTCCTGCAACCCTTCTTCATATCTTTTATCCACCAGTCCCTTAATCGTCCTATTTGTTCTTCTCTGCACTCTGGAAAGTCTCAAAATCTTTTTTTACACCGTGACGACCAAAACTGGATGCCGTACTCCAAGTGTGGCCTTACCCAGGGATTATAAAGTGCCATTAACACTCCAGGTGATCAGGATTCGGTCCCCCAGTTAATGCCGCCGTCCCCGTTTTTCCCCTGGGTTCAGGGCTGGAGATTCCTTTGGGAATCGACAGGGGGTAAGTAGAGGGCAGATTTGGAGAAGGTCACTTGCTGGCCAGCCTCGCCCCTCCCAGGTGAGCCCATTCTCCGAGCACAGGTGGATTCGGGCCCAGGCACAGGTGCCAGCAGCTGGCCATCTGCTCCGTTTCTCTCTCCTTTACAGGACTTGGGTGCCTGGCCCTGAGCCAGCACTCCCTCCGCCAGGTGAAGGACGCTAATTAAACCGAACTGACATGGCATGAAAGCCGGGCTCTCGGTGGATTAATGCTCACACGGAAGTTCACCCGAGGATCACCGTGGTGCCCTTGGCAGTGTGGCAAGGCTCGCCAGGCCAAAGGCGGGCAGGGAAGCGGCTTTAGGGGTTTCGGTCGGGAGCTGCTGGTCATCGGGTCCAGGGAGGGGCCTTGCTCCCTCTGTGGGGGCCCCAGAAGCTATTTCTCTGGGGGAAATCAGTCCGGCGGCCAGGCCAGGCACCGCCTCCCCTCACTACCTCAGGTTGTTTGCAAAGCAAGCGACGCAAGCCGCGTGTCCCCCCCGCACAGCCTGCATTAATCGCTTTGGAGGGGACATTTCTCTGCGGACCGCCACCATTTTCTCACAAACCCCCCGTGGTCCCCAGCCCACCGCTTGGCGACTGCTGGGCTAGGACACCTGGATCAATGAAGATCAAAGGCAAAGATCCGAGAGCCGGGTCTATGGAGATTCTCAGCCGTTCAGGGCACAGTGGTCTCGCGGGGGCTTTTTTCCCGCCAAGAAGCAGCTGGACGTTCTTGCTTTTCTTTGAAGGAGCTTCTTGGATGAGAGGGAAAACGTCTTCAAAGAAAAACAAGGAAGTCCAGTTGCCCCTTGGGGGGAGGGGGGGGGAGAAGCACTTTTGGGACCATCCAAGGATCCGGGACGGAGAAATGAGGCCTCGTAAGCTCCGTCGTTTCCTCCTGGAGCTGGGATGCCCAGCTGCAGGTGGTCCGTTATGAGGCCACCATGCAGGCCCAGATGAGGTGAGGCCACGCCGAGGTCTTCGGCCTCTGGGAGCCCCCTCAAGAGGAGTCAGATCTGAACGGAGAGCCCCCCGCTCTTCACCACCGGCCTTCCTCCTTAGCGCTCCCTGGCTCCTCCGCCATCGGCACCCACCTCCTCCTTGGTGCAATCTGCCAAATGTCCCTTTCCTGGCTTGAAAGTTTAATGACAGGTGTCCTGTTTCCGCAGTCGGGGACTTCTGGTGACATCTTGTAGGGTTCGCTTACAGATCAAGACACACCAATTCCAATTAGTGTTAGCCCTTGCTTATCCTGGCCGGGCCGATTGAATTCCAATTTAGCTGATGGCCCTTCCCAAAGGCCCCTGGGACGAGCCACCTTGCCGTGGGGATGCTAAGAGCCTCGGGTTGTGTACTATCGCTGGGAAGACGGAGCCCAACGCAAAGGGAGAGGTGCTGGGGGACTGGGGGCGGGGGGTGTCCTACCAGCCATCCCTGCCAACCCCGTTGTTATTCTGTTAGGATCTGAAACTCCGGGGATGTTGGGTCTTAAGGAGCCCCAGTTAGCCAGAACGTCCTTCGAGAGACCCACCCGACTGGCACGAGGATGGTGTCGCTGAGCTGATAAAAGCCACCCCCTTCGCCCTCTCCCTACCTGGCATCCTGAAGAATCCCAGGGCAACTCCAAGAAGCAGGAAGGTGCAATGCCCAAGAGCCCCCGACATGTTCATGCCCGCCAAGAGGCCGCTGGAGAGAGGAACCGGCCCCTCCAAACGGCCAGGGACATGTTTTAGGTCTCCTTTGGAGGTGTTTGCGAGGCATGTGCAGGATACATGAGCTGCCCTGCTGCTCCGAGGGCGGAAGAAGAAAGGAGAAGGACTCTCGGCAGACGCAGAATTTCTCCAAGGGCTGCAGGTCGGGTGCCAGACCCGGATGGGTTTTCCTTACCTCCGCCAGGTGGAAACAGAACTCCAGCGAGGGGACGATGAGTGACACCGAGAAAGGGAGCGGAAGAGGTTGAAAACAAGCAAATAATAACAATATTTTAAAATAAAAACCTCTAGGAAAATGTAAAAGGTAAGCGGAAAGAGCCACAGGGTTCTCAAATATATTTATAGTAGCAACGGGTTAAGACTCATTCTAATATTTGGAATATACTCATTTAATTTCAGATACTCTGAATTTGGTTGGAAGTAGAGCGTGCATCCCACTGAACAAGCTGCTACTGGTTTAAAGAAAAGGAAACCAGTTTTGAAGGGAACATATACAAGAAATACTGAAGTTATACAGGCAAATCCCAAGCAGTGGTCCAACAGTAGTTGTTCCAGGAAAGGGCTGAAAGAATAAAAGTCTCAGATTTACAGTGGCAAAAAACTTTTAGTCTGCCTTGAACTAGATATTTGGATCAATAAAATAAAAAATACTGAGATTGGTCCAGTTCCTAGTTTGTTTTCCCAGTTTGCATGTTAACTCTAAACTGTTTTATTTTTCGTGGAGCATCATATACAAAGGTCACTTTGCGAACGGTAGCTCCAAGTCCCATAAATGGGGTGGGGGGAACGGGACATTTTTGCTATTTTCCCTACAGCAAATACGTTCACGCTTCTAAAAACTACCCGGTGCCCTTCGGTTCTGGAAGCCCCCTGCTGCAGGTGCGTCCCGGCATTTCCAGATGCGGCAGTGCTGATCCAAATATTTTGTCTTTATTCTCTTGCTCTTTTGCAAGATTTGAGGAGCAAAAAAGAAATTTTGTTTTCACAGCCGGAAGAAATGGTTTTGTCCCATGGGTGAGTATCTTATTGCTAATGTATACAAATTATTTATTAAAATTGAATTTATTTGCTGCTGTCTTGCCCCAGGCGGCTCTAACAATAAAAACTGTCAATGAACCAAGAAGATGGAATACGTGAAGGATTGGAATGGTCAGTAGATAAAAATTAATGAACAGACTTATGAGAGATACTCGATTCTTCTCAAGGGAAGCATGCGGGAACGGAAGAGGCGGAGGGGCCCGGCCCACAGAATCAACAAGAGTTGGACAGGATTTAATGGATAACCTCATCATTGGAGTATAGAAATATTTAGTAATATTTGTGTAATTGATACTATAATGCATTTATGTGTTTTATGTCGATTAAGAGACTGCGACAGTTATTGACACACAAGTTTTCTCTTTAAAACTAAAACAAGAATATTTTATCCTATAACTGCACTCCTATTGAAGAGAATCAGAAGTCGTGTTTTCCTATATTGCTTTTTTTCGGAGGGTGGGGGGACTTTAAACTTTCCCTGTTGACCCTCCTCACACCCCCCCCCCCTTTTCCTTCTGCGTTGTAATTTTGTGCTTTTTTTACTCTTGGAGCCTAATAAAATTCTTAAGAGAAAACAAATTGCAACAGTTAAGTTATTGGTGGGATCCTGAGAACTCCCCCCCCCCCCAAAAAAAACCCCCCAATGGAAGATACAGAAGGAAGAAAGAGACAACCAGGAAAATGCTATAAACATTTTATTTTTTTTTGGTAGAAAGTATTTCCAGAAAAACAGACAAGAAAATAATTGGGATCATTTATTTATAGTTTTTAATAAAAACCTTTACATAATCTTCATGCGTAACA